TGTGTGTGTGTGTGTGTGTGTGTGTGTGTGTGTGTGTGTGTGTGTGTTCTTCTTTTCTAGGTTGTGGTTGTTGTGGCTCTTTGATGTAGTCTTATGTCATCAGTAAATTGCCACTTCCTGGCACTATTTGAGATCAGTCCGTCCTTTGATCATTACGATAGAAGGGCATGTCGCCATGACATTTGATTTAGTTTTTATTATGGTTACCTTTATTTTACAGGATATTCCCATTGAGATATAAAAGCTACATTTGTGTTTTTTAGTCAAATCTCTTTTCATCTCGCGCCACCATCAGATCCACTGCTTTGGTTTGTGACCACACAGCTGCACAACTAATGGCATTCCCATCAGCCTCAGCTGTTTAGTGCTAATTAGCAAATGTTAGCATGCTAAACTCGGATGATTTACATCATGTCTGCTAAATACAAGCAGGTTAGCATTCTCATTGTGAGTGTGTTAGCATGCTGATGCTAGCATTGAGCTCAAAGCATGGCTATGGACTTTTGTTAAACTGCAATGTCTAACTTCAAAGTGACTAAATGAAGTGTGTTTGTCCCTCTTTTAATGGACAGCAGCAACTAGTCTGCTAGCTTCAAGACTTGGGGATGAATCTTCTCTTTTCTAGTTTCTGTCTCACTATAGTCTCCCCTGTTTCTCCCCTTCTATCTTCCCTCCTTCACAAACACACCCATCACGTAGCCATGCACAGTGTTTGTCACATGGCAGCTCAGTCTGTCAGTGGGTTAAGAGTCGCATCACAACTCGAATGCTAGCAGAGAAATAATAAATGAAACACTGCGAGGTGTGAATTGCCAATTAACATCTCTTTACATATGTCAGCTATAATTGTCGCGTAACATTTGACAAAACATCATCAATCGGCTCCTCTGCCACCTCGTGGAAACGTCAGCTGTGACAGCGGCTCACAGATTGGATTAAGACATGAGTGAGTAATAATGAGTCACAGCAAAAGCCTCACCTGGAGGAAAGCTGCTTTAGGAAAGGAGGAAATTAGAGAACTAGGCGCAAGCAGAGAAAAGTGACATTTTGACAAATGTGAAAAGTGAAATGACTTTGAATTCAAACAGCCCCAATGCTTGTAATAAACTTGTAAATTCGCAGTAAATATTATAAATTAAAGGGTTAAAGTTGTGAACAGCAGAGTGGCTCTGCTTCGGTGTGCAATGGAGATGTTTATCCGCTGATCACAAAATCCATTTCTCAGATAAGCTCCCACTTAATCACAGTAATGGATCTGCTGTGTCCACCTGCAGAGCGGAGGATTGTTTCTGTGCCACCAGGAAGCTGGACGCCGCCTCCACAGAGGCCAAGTTCCTGCAGGATCTGGGCTTCAGGATGCTCAACTGCGGACGGACGGACCTCGTCAAGCAGGCCGTGAACCTGCTGGGGCCCGACGGCATCAACAGCATGAGCGAACAGGTGACAGGTTACCTTCATAATGACATCACACTCCTACACAGAAATAGTGAAGAGTTGAACACAATTAATTTCTAACAAGTATAACCTGGCAGTCCGTCCCAGTTCTCTCATACTGGGCACAAGCTGCTCCCTATGAGTCATGCAATGTGCTTGATTCTTATGCCGCAGTGCAAATTTCTAACATGATTTACAAGAAAATGTTGTCTTTGTGTCTGCATATAAGGATGTTTATAAGAGGACAAATACAGAATGCGAATATGCACAGTTATGGACACACTCTGAGTATTCATTGTAATATTTGTCGCATGAACAAAGACTCATGATTATTCTAAAATAAATACAACTTGCAGTATGAATCCAAATACAGATCTGAATACTGATATTTTTGTTAAATTAAAAGACTGGTAGTAGCTGTGCATTTATCCAAATACAGAAGAAGAAAGGAGTGACTTAATGGTGCATTTGATACCGCAACACTTTTCCTGGACTGAGCGTTTAGGTCGATATCTTTCTGCATCCAAGTGTTAATGTCATTAGGGATTTTTTACCTTCTCCAGTCAATGGAAATATTGGTTATTCCTCGCTCTGCTAAGTGGAAGCTAATAGTGCAGTCTGTTTTTTTCCTTGGTCACAAAGCTGTGCTTGGCAGGTCTCGATATTCAGGATTTATGTTTGTACAAAGCAAACTTTTGTTTCTTGCATAAACCTATATTTCAGAAAAAGTACAGGTTTCATTTCATCCACAGCTCCTGGCAGGTTGATTCATACCACATTCATATGTTTCAGTATTTACAGGTCCTTAGGAGTATAACAAATTGTATTGACTGACACTTTTCCGCCTCAATCCTCACCTAAATAACAAGCTGTGGTGGCATACAGACTTTTTATTCACTTGCTGCTAAATGGTGCAGGGGCCCAGACGGCGTTACAGGAGCAATAAAATGAAAGCTGCCATCACGGATGAGAAGCATTTGAACTCATCACAACGATCATCAGGGTCCGCCATCTATCTCTCCTTTAGCTGTCAGTTGATTAAGTAGATCGGTGTCCGGGAAATATTTAACAATGAATCACCACGAAGGGAGATCGGTCTTCCACATAAAGTGCTTTGGTGTGTTGTGAATGCGTCATAAAAAGCTTGTTTGTCCCGGATCAGACACATGATTGAAGGATGTGTTACGGAAGCTCGTCCAGGGTGATAAACGTGAGGAAGGCACCGCCTGCTTTTAATATAAATATCCTATAGAACTAAAGAGCACAGCTGTTGGTGAGCTCCTTATAGACCTGCTAACGGTCTCTTGAGGGCTTGGCTGATAGCACTGAGATCCATTTTTCATGGTGCAGTTAAGAAGAGAAATGAACAAAGAATCTTGTGTGTTTGTTTGGTACGATAATGAATCAACATGCTCAACTCCAACAGGCGAGTACACTTCATTAATTAGGTGTTAAATCCTTAAAAACAGAGCACTCAAATTAAGTCTTTTGTTCATGAAAATACAAAAAGCAAACATCCTTCCTCGCTGAGAAAACATCATTAGAAATTTGTTTTTGAAGTCTTGTCTGAATATATAATAAAAGACAATATTTTGTTTGCGTCAAAACATCTATTTTCTATACCTGCCAGTGTTGCCAGGTGTGAGATCATTGTCAATCTTCGGGTCTGATAAGTGAAGCCAATGCTGAAGTGTGTTAATGCTGCATTCTCTCTAGTGTCCACCAGGGGGCGACTCCTCTGGTTGTATAGAAGTCTATGAGAAAGTGACTCTACTTCTCTCTTGATTTATTACCTCAGTAAACATTGTAAACATGAGTTTATGGTCTCAATCTCTAGTTTCAAGTCTTCTTCAATACAGCATGATGTTCATTTAGTACATTATGGTCCATTTAGAGTCAAATAGACCATGAAGCAGGATGTGCTTTAGGAAGGGGCTACAAGGTGATTGACAGGTCACTGCTGATAAAAATGCTTCATACTTCACACATTTCATAGTATTTGTGGATGTTAGTCGTTAAGGTAGCAAGTTAATCCAAATGTATTCAGTGTTAATAGTAACATTTAAAAGTACAAGTACATCATTTGGAGTAGTTTTAAAGTATTGTAGCATAAAATGGTCATAGTACAAGTGTGGGCATTCGTAGTCACAATTTAGAGGCGCTACGCAACTATTAAAATCCAAAGAGCTGCTGAATAAAGGCTGAATGATTGTGATTGGCTGAGAAAGACATAGAGTTCATCACCTTTCCTCTGTACTAAAGTGCATTGTAGGAACCCTGTAACCTCCTCCCTCCCTCCCTCCCTCCCACAGGGAATGACCCCTCTCATGTACGCCTGCGTGCGCGGTGACGAGGCCATGGTTCAGATGCTGCTCGACGCCGGAGCCGACATCAACAGCGAGGTCAGTGTTCACGAGACACCGTCACTCCGTCAAAATGTCACATTAAATCCACATTTTTGTTCTTTTGTCCAAAATGTTCATTTACATTTGTTCTGTGAAAACGATGAACCCACTTTGTGTTGCTCTCCCCCCCCCCCCCTCCCCTCTGTCCTCATTGTCTCACCTGCTGTCGGCATGCTCTCTGTTCTCCTGGCAGCTTATTACATGAAGTGCACTGATGAGCAATAAAGGAGCATCATTTGCACAGTAACAGTGATATAGAACAATAATCCACCGATGCTCCCTCAGTGCAGACAGTTACTTCATTACATTTTACATTGTAGACTTCCAGCAGCAAGTTGCTTTAAACCGCATCACTGTTGCACAAGTGTGTGCACTTAGTGTAATCTGCTACCATAGACTGTACACCAAGCACAAACTTCATTGCACTTGTGTTTAACCAAGAACAGTGAAAGTAAACAGTGAAACTTTAATATTGTAAATCTCATTCTGTCTCCGCTGTGTGTCCTTTGTTTGTGTGTGTGTCTGTGTGTGTGTGTGTGTGTGTGTGTGTGTGTGTGTGTGTGTGTGTTTGTAGCTGCTTTAATCGTAGTCAAGAGTAGAAATGTTTCATGGACTCTCCTCCACCATAGTGACCCCATTGTTGGTTGTTGTGATTGCTCCATCGGTCTGGTGTGTGTGTTCAGTGCGTTGACTCTAAATGTGTAAATCATCTGGGAGTCCACTGTGACGTGTTTTTAATCAGTTCACCCAAATTACAAAGAAACCTATTTTCTCATGTTTTTCTAATGGAGTCAGGTCACGCAGATCCTTTTATGTGCCAGTATCACAGTGTCTCTACAAGCTGTCATAAGAAGTGGACAACTTTCTACTTTTAACTTTTTAAAATAAGAGAATGTACTGCATCTGGTCGCATTGTGCAGAAGGCTTTTTCTGACTTTTCTGAGATTTGTTCTGAAGTTTATGGTAAATAAGTCATTTAGCATGAAAAACACATAAAAGAATAACTAACGTTTGTCGACTAAGGCCAAAACGACTGATTCATTGACTATTCGACTAAGAGGTGGCAGCCCTACGAGGTAGTATGTCCCAGTTGAATGCATACCGCATTCAACAGTATACGTACTGGTGGAAACTGTCCTGAGCAAAGTCTGTGGGATATGAAACGGTACTTTAAATGAATTTCCAATCACCTCCACTGAAATCTCAAAAACCTCAACATATAAAACAAACACTATCTGCAGGGCAAGTACATGAGAAAAGACAACTTCTTGATTGTAATTTGGGTGAGCGGTTAAGTAAAATGATGTTGCTTATATTATGAACTAGTTAATAATTCATTAGTGTGAACACAAAAACTCTAACAGTCCCACTGTTGTTTAGCATCAGCACTCAATTGAAATGTGACATTACATTAAACGTCTGTCGTAAAGACGGTCCTCCTCCAGGCGACATTTAGGAACCATTTCTGTAATTTACATGCAGCCACTTTATTAGAGATCCCAGAACGACATCATCATTTCACTCTGACGCTGCTGAGTCATTACCAACCGCCTCGACTGCGTTTGTGGTCTTTGCCAATGTGGTGTATGTTCTCTCCGGTTTCATTCCGCTTTGAAATGAAACGCCGTTGAAGAGTTGGAGCTAGGCAGATAGCACAGAGCGCTGGTCAGAGAGCCGTGCCCGGGCGGACACACGCTCTAAAGGCTGAGGATTGACATGACGAATAGGAGTCAAGCTGCCCAGGATTTTCTGTGAAACTCAAGAGGAAAATCTCCTTCTGCCATCCCGCCCTCCCTTTGCTTACACTTCTCCTCCTGCATACTGCTTCTCGCTCCCCCTCCCCGCCTCCCCACCCCCCCTTCATCTCCCCGCCCTGAGCTGTGAATGTTAATGGCTGTATATCTCTCTCCCTGAACCTTCACCTATGACTTCCCAGGTGCCAAGCACAGTAAACAAGCACCCCTCAGTTTACCCTGAAACGCGCCATGGGACGCCACTCACTTTCGCCGTGTTACACGGACACGTGCCTGTCGTGCAGGTAGTGACGTTTATGACCTGTAACCATTAACCTGTGGCCCTTGCCCCCTGACCTTTACACCAAAATGAGGATATAATGATGATAATAATGCCAATAATGTCGTTTTTATTGCTCCTCTTTAATCCTATATGTGCAGTAATTATTTGGAGAGGAGTTGGTCAAGGAGAACTCTGTTTTTAATAATATATGCTACTAAGAGATGTGTAGATGAGTGATCTAGCCTCCTGGTTTCCTCCACAACTTAAGGATTTGTCCGACAGCAGCAGGGAGAAGCGTCCGGAGGCTAACGACACAGAGCTCAGCCAGCCTGATACACAGCTGCAGGGATGCCAAATTTCAGTGTTTTGTTCATCATCTAATATATAATAAATTCTGTTGCGGTAGTTATTGTATGAGCTGACACACCGGCTGAAAGCCTGATGAACAGCGTCACCCTCAGGATTTTTCTAAATTATTCATCTGCACTACCGCAATCAGAGGGTTTTTTGGGGGGGATGGGGGGGTATTGATCCATTTCTCAGCTCAGGCAAGTCGTCAGCAACAACAAGAAGCTAATGAGGAAGTGTGTGAGCGAGGACAATCTCTAACTGAGGGGGTTCAGGTTTCCAACAGTTGAGGCTTCCCCTGTTGCCAAACCTGAGTGTAACACACCGTCTCCCCCTTGCCTGTTTACTTCCTCCCTACCCCCCCGGTTTGTTTTCCCCCTCCCTCCCTCCCTCCCTTCCTTTTCCACCTTCCTCCATCTCCGCCACAGTTGTTGCTGGATAACAGAGCGAACGTGGAGGGCGCCCTGCAGGATGGGGCGGAGAACTACACGGAGACCCCGCTTCAGCTGGCCTCTGCTGCAGGTAATCACACACACAAGCAGCAACTATGTGGATTTCTCTTCACGTTTAGAGTCCAGTCGTTCATATTTGACCCGTATAAGGGCCATTAGTCATGACAGGCTTCATTCTAAGCTCGCCAGAAAGCACTCTGCTTTAATCATCGAATTAATTCATCACCTTTTAATTACTATCTGAGATTCGAGAATGCACTACATTTTAAATGCTGCTCATGATTGTGTTGTTGCCGTGTGGTTGTGCAGCCATGTATAAAAGAACCTGCAGCATGTAGTTTTATTCAGTCAAAATGGACTTTAAACTGACTGGACTCATCTGTCAAAGCAGCACTGAATGTGCATCTAAAGGAATAGTTTGACATTTGGGGAGGAACATTTGCTTTTTTTTCCCATTGAGTTAGATGAGAAGATTCATGCCACTCTTTGTGTGCTCGGGTAGACGGCCATATTTTTATGAGGTCATCCTGGGAGCACTTCCATCTACCTCTGTATGGGACGTTATTGTCTTCACTCCATGGACTTACTCCTACTACCTGTCCCCAAAGCCAGGGCTGCAACACTGTTCAATGTGATGCTGGATAATGAATGCTATTAACATCCATAATAAATAATGCAGATTCAATAAAGACTACAATCCCAGAGCAAATGTAGTTAATGAATAGCAATGAGAGAATAATTGTATGCAGGTTCAGGCTCCTGCCTGCTTTATTGTACTGTTACATTAACTTTATAAGGATGTACACGCTTGAGGAGGCAACGCAAGTATCAGCTGATTTCAAATGAGCAGTGAAGTGTTTAAACTACTTTTAAACTGGTGCCGAAAGTATTTCCTGTTCTCGATGCTTGGCTGAGCGCATCAGGGATTAGTTTTGAGTTGTATTGTCCCCAGAAGAGCAGAGCTCACTGCTGCCGTCGTCTCATTTAACCGACGGCGACCATGTGGAATTCGGTGAATGTGAAAAGGAATTTCGATGCTTTGTGTTTTGTTGTTGTGCACTTTAACATTAGTGCTGGTATTCAGATCCGTTACTTATATAAGAATCCACGCTGTAGAAATACTCCATTACCTTTTTACACAACAACAAGTTATTATTAACAACTCTGGAGAAGGGAACTACGTTTGTATCGTTCTTTACTTGTTGAATCCAAACTTTACAACACATACAGATCAATACGCGCCTTGTCGTGTATGCACTCAAACATAAAGTAGTCCCTCATTATAATGTAGGCTATATGGGACACATCATTTTGTTTTTTTCTTTTTAAAAAGTAACTATTAATGACAAATAAATGTATGAAGTAGCATTAAATGTAAATATTCAAGTAAAAATTGTACAATACTTGAGTAAATGTATTTAGTTACATTTCACCTCTGGTGAATTCTTAATATGCAAAGTAGCTATCAGATGAATATATATATATATAATATATACTGTATATATATATTTATATAAAATGTCTCTTTAAGTATAATATTTGAATTAATTAGTAACATTCCACCACTCGTCAACATAGATGGTTGCAAAGCATGAAATGTAAGCTGTAGTTTAGTGCATTCACCCTCTAAACGTGTGCTTCACGTGTCATCCTGGTCAGGTAACTTTGAGCTGGTGAGTTTGCTGCTGGAGAGAGGGGCCGACCCCATGATCGGGACCATGTGTCGGAACGGCATCTCCTCTGCCCCGCTGGGAGACATGAACTCATTCAGCCTGGCAGCAGCACACGGCCACAGGTAATACAGGCAAGCACACACACACACACACACACACACACACAGGGACACACAGGTGCCAGTCAGCAGAGATATATCCATTACCACAGTATTGATCCATTTACACACTGGGCCCTGGACTACATGCCTCTCAGGGAATCCTGCAGCATGTGAGAGGCAGATATCTCCCTGTCAGACAGCAGGCGACGATAAGCTGCTGCAGTCTATTCGGCGCCACTTATGGCTCCAGTTTGACATCATTTCCCCGCAGCTGAGTAAGATAAAGCCCGTTAACAGTCAGAGCAGAGGGAGCTGTCAGGAAGTGGAGTGGTAAGCCAACAACACAATGCAGCATCATTAAGACAATCAATTATAGAGTGATGATAATGCTGCAGCGAGAGGAAATCAAAATGCTCCCAATCTTGGATCTTGCACCTTTAAGCACTGCTATTTCAAACAATGCTGCGCTTCCAACTTTGTGCCGCCTGTTTCCCCATGAATGAATACCCCACGTACAAAAAGCCAGGTCCTGAAAGAAACTTTCACAATGGGGTGTAAAGGAACTTCACTGATCTACGCACCTTTTGTGATGAGCTGAAATGTGACTGTGCGTCAGCGTTGGACCTCACTAATGATCTTGTAGCTGAATGGGAAGAAAGCAGCATCTCCCAAATCAAAAAAGAGTGGTGGCTTTTGTAGGAGATCAAACAACATTCTACCGACAGCTTCAAAGTGACGGCCGTGAACCTCCCACCAACTTGTCATCCGTGATCAAACAATCTCCCAAACAGGATATGGCCTCTTAACGAGCCCCTCCTCACTAAAGCAGACGGTGGCAGTGATGCATCATCAGGCTGTCATCTCACTGTATACGTTACGTTCTGCATCATTCTGTTGCTGAAATGTTGCGGTATGAATCTGCTGACTCGAACAAATGTTGTTGTTTTTTGTCTGCTAAAGGTAATCAGTTTCAGCTTCATGTGTTTTGACTCTACGGAGCGATTGTGCTTGATTAAGTCCATGAGGATATTTTGAGTGCCATCAGAGCTCCAGAGCTGGATGGGCTTAATGTGGAGTTAACACGGGACGTGTGAGCTTAAATTAGAAGCGTTTTCCAGTCTGAGACCTCAGGCCATGCTCGGTGTTTTGCAGTTTTCTCATCCTCTCCCCGCAGCTTGCCCTGACCATGAAACAATCTGTCACTGTGTCTTATCCCACTCTGCGTTCCTTTAATCTCTGTTTGGGTTTTATTTCCTACCTCTTCCACTCCAGGAACGTGTTTCGGAAGCTCATGTCCCAGTCGGAGCAGGAAAAGGGGGACGTGCTGTCCCTGGAGGAGATCCTGGCCGAGAGTACGGATCCCGGGGAGAAGAGTTTGGCGCCGCAGGCCAACGGCGGAGGGACGCTGCGAACAGGAAAGGCCAAACTGAGGGCCCTGAGAGAGGCCATGTACCATAGTGCAGAGCACGGCCATGTGGACATCACCATAGACATCCGCAGCTTAGGTCAGATTTACTAATACATGCTTCACTGGCACACGTGCATCGCTCTCTGGTGCTTCCAGCTGTCCTGGAGATGTGCTCATGCTGTGTGCCTGTCCTGTCCTGTGCTGTCCTGTACACACACTCAGCAATCACCGCCACTCATCCAACCATGAAACAGTCCGATAATAGGCCGATAATATGTCGGGTGCAGTGGTCACTCTGTACAAGATCATCAGCTTTCACCTCAACATTGTGAACCTTTATTTGGCCGAATGTAGCATTTGATCAGGATTCAATTAGGATTAATTGACTGACAAAACAATCTCACCACAAGTGCCATTTAGTAGTTGTAGTTAAGACTACCTAAACCGAGACATGACCAAGACCAGAGTGTATCTAGACTATGACAAGACCAGGACTTTTAGGGATGGCGACCAAGACCAGACCAGAGCAACACTGCATGACACACTTCTTTTTTCTATTTTCATGTTGATTAGCCAAATACAACAAACAAACAACTCCTCTTCCTGCTCGTGTGTAGAACGTGTGAATATATGAATGTCTATAATGAATATATAAGTGTCCGTGTCTCCACTGAGGTACGATCAAAGCTCGACTGTGTCCCCCTGCTTCCAGTCTTCGTGCTAACCGTCTTCTGGCTGCAGCCTCTAAATGGTATTTGTGATGAGATTGTTTTGTGAACTCCGGTTTCCAAGGTCAAGAATGAACTTTCAATCAAAGAAAATAGAGAAAAATGCCCATCACAAGCTCCCAGAGCCCGAGGGGACATCTTTAAATAGCTTGTGTTGTTCGACCAAGAACCCCAAACTCAAAAATAACAAATTTATGCTGTTATGAAGCATAAAAAAAGCAGCAAATACTCAAATTTGAAAAGCTGGAATCAGCAACTTTTGCTTGATGAAAGATTAATCTCTCACAAAAATTGATTAACTTTCGACTCCATTAATCAAGTACTCATTTCAGCAGAGCTGCTGATACACAAAGCCTCCACTGTCATGTCATTTTTTATGTTAATCTCACACACACGTCATCCGCCACTCATCCTATTGTTGCAGAACATTACAGCCTTTTTTTTTAACAGGACATTCTTTAATTGTATTCACGTGCTGTCTTTATATTCCCGCCGGAGCCTCCGACTGTCACCACGCAATCAATCGCCCTTCAACTCGACACAAACACCACAAAGTGATGGAAACATGGTCGGTTCTGTCGCCCCCTTGAATCCGCTCCGACTCAGCTTTGTGTGTATTCACTGTGGGTGTGTGGTGTTGTTCCCAGGCGTTCCCTGGACGCTGCACACCTGGCTCGAGTCCCTGCGCACCTGCTTCATGCAGCACCGCCGGCCGCTGATCCAGGGCCTGCTCAAAGACTTCAGCTGCATCCAGGAGGAGGAGTACACGGAGGAGCTCATCACGCACGGCCTGCCGCTCATGTTCCAGATCCTCCGAACCAGCAAGGTCACCGGGGATTTCTTTTCATGTGCATGTAAACAAAGTGCTTGTTAGAGAAACATCAGACAAAGTAAAGGCCTGTTTTACTGGGAATACTAGCTCATGTGCTAGGGTCACATTAACGCTCATATTTTGCATATATTTAGTTGCACTCCACACTATATTACCATACATTTGCATACGATTTTAGCTCAGAAAACTCTATAATCTGTTTAAAGTTTCTGTCCTCACTTGTGTTGGTGTCTGTTTGCAGAACGAGGTGATAAGCCAGCAGCTGTCAGTCATTTTCACCCAGTGCTACGGGCCCTTCCCCATCCCTAAGCTGACAGAGATCAAGAAGAAGCAGACCTCGCGCTTAGGTAGGAGAGCGAGTTAAAAATAGGGACCGCTGCTCGACGTTTTCTTCTGCTTTCTGCATTAAATGAAGCTGAGTGACGAGGGACCGACAGCAGGGTTTGAGCTAAAGTGGCAAGACGAGAGACTTGAGACTCTTGTTTTGGAGGGAATGTGTCTCTTGAGGTCAGAGATCACAAGACTAGACGAGGTATTTTTTTCATCAGATTTTTAGTTTAGGACGTCTCTGTCGGGGGCGACTTTGTTCATATGAGATTATTATAGATTGTAATGGCAAAAAGAGAAATATACACTGATCAAAATGTCACAGATTATTGCTTTATTACATAACAGATCACAGAGTTATTACCTCTGTTTAGTTTCAAGGTCTTAACGTATGCACAAGAGAAGCAGTCGTTGGATCTCAGACTTCCTCCAACACTTTTTTTTTTTTTTTTAAAGCCCACAAGTAAAAGAGAAATATATAACTTACTGCACAAATAAAATAAATATAAAACAAAGTCATAAAAATAGACAGTAACTGAATGAACTGAATTTCAACAAATGTAGTAAATGTATATGATGCAGGTCATGACAAGTCTTTAAAAGCATTCAATTCACTTTCCTAAAACAAGGCCTTTGACGGCGTTTAAATGTCATTATTATTATTTACAAAAGTCCCAAATATTTTGTGGCAGCGATGTTACGAATTGTTTTCGGGAGACGCTACACTTTCATAAAGTCACTTTGAACATTCATCATGATGTGCTTTGGAAGCTTGTCTGTAATGATGTGATTCATCAGTCTGATCTGGTGTTTCAAGCTCCTTTAAAGTCAGGAAGGTCACCGACATGTCCACATTCTCATTTCTCTCACGTTTCACATAGTTAGAGCAGGAGGAGGCACCGGAACATTTAGCGACTGAGCTGCAGCACCACCAAGTGTTTGACTAACAACATGTTTACTGGTTTCTATACTTTCTGTACGGAGACAATGAATGCTTTAAAAAGCGAATTGATTGATTGATCAGGATCTTCAAGGATACACTTAAAGAAACAGCTCAAAGGACCGGCTATAAATCCAACCGCCGGCCTTTTAGAATACTAATGAAATGAGACTTGTTGTATTTTCATAATCCTGCTGAGTGACGAATCACCCTCAGAGTAACGACCACGTCAGCTTAGTCTTTTGTTGTTTGCTGGGACTCTGGTAATGAGGCATCTTCTGGCTGTTTTTATTGTCTTCTTCAGACCCTCACTTCCTCAACAACAAGGACATGTCTGACGTTACTTTCCTGGTGGAGGTGAAACCGTTTTATGCACACAAAGTTCTGCTGTTTACAGCTTCACCCAGGTAAAGGAGCTATTTTGCCGTTTATTAATGTATTTTCTTTTTGCCTCACACGGCTATAATAAATGCCGTGATTTCCATTGTTTCATCCAGGTTCAAGTCACTTCTCCAGAACCGACCAGCAGCAGAGAACACCTGTATTGAGATAAGCCATGTCAAGTACAATATTTTCCATGTAAGAATTTAATTTTCATCCAAAACCCTCTGTCATTGTGTTGCACCGTCATCTATTGCATGTCTGACCAGGACGGACAGATGTGTCCAGATGAATAAACAATGGAATCGATGCTGTTCTGTGTTTCAGTTGGTCATGCAGTATCTGTACTTTGGAGGCACTGAGGCTTTGCACATACGCAACACTGAAGTCATGGAGGTAAGAGAGACTTAACCAAAGCCTGCTGAGCGACAGCGAAAGTATTAGCATTGCTAATCCCCGAGTCCTGTGCCTCATTCTGTGTGGCTGTACTGTTCCCTCCAGCTCCTGTCTGCAGCCAAATTCTTCCAACTAGAGGCCCTCCAGAGACACTGTGAGATCATCTGCTCCAAGAACATCACCACAGAAACCTGCGTGGACCTCTACAAACACGCCAAGGTGAGACGCAAACAAGGTGAAAAGGAGAGAAAATTACAGACTGCTGCGAACTAAACTAAAAGCAACACAACACCGTATGAATTGACCAGGAATACCTAATATTTCTACCATCACATAAACACTCAAAAACTGCTTTTGTCTCTCCATCGTCTTGTCTCAATGTAGTTCCTCGGCGCGGCGGAGCTCACGACTTTCATCGAGGGCTATATCCTGAAGAACATGGTGCTGCTGATCGAACTCGACGGCTTCAAGCAGCTGCTGTACGAACCTCCTCCCGCCGAGAGCCCCGCGTCCAGCCCCGGCATCTGCACCGACATCCTCCTCGACCTGGAGAAAACTCTGGCCATGCGCATCCACTCCATCCACCTCTCCACCTCTAAGGGCTCCGTGGTGTGACGCCGTCCTCCCACGAAAGCCCTCCGATCTCCAGGCACAGCGTCCATGTAACACGACCCCCCCCCCCCCCGTCCACCTGTCCCGGCTCCACTGCTGAAGAGGTGCTGTCGGATGTTTTGATGTCAGGGATTCACTTTAATTCTGCCCCAGAGGGTTGAAGTTGGCATATGTGACAAAATCAGAGAGAGAGAACTTTCCGGCTTGTTGTCCTAATGGCTCCCACTGACCACTTCACACCCCTACAGTCTAAAAGACACTAAACAGACTCAGCAGTATCACTAAGACCTAATCGTGATTATAAAACGTATTGTATTTCATATAGGACACATGCATGGAATACATTCTGTACACCTTTAAGGTAGAGTAGAACTCAATAAAATTAGCTTTCTCATCATCTCCGATGTGAGACTTTAGGTTTACAAACTTTACGGAAGTGGATGCCATTGCAGTGTAAAGTTTGTCACATGCCAAAATATAATCATACTATACAACCAATAAAAAGTGACTAGTAGCAATGCCAGCAGACAGACTCTAGGTGGACTTATCTCCGTTTCATCCTGTCACTTCTACGTTGGATACGTTTCACTGTGTTATATCTACTGCGTGTGCAGAGGCCAAACCGATCACAGGCACTTCCACCGAGGCCGACGCTGCAGCGCTGACTGAACTAAAGACGGCCCACTCATAGTGAGATCTATGCTGACGTACGCTTGAACCATGGATGTCCAACCGGGGAAATTAACTACGATAACTCCACGAAACGCCGTCGACGTTTCTCTTTTTGTTTTTTGATTTTTGCATGACACCTCCTCAACTGAGCTGCCGTGATATTGCTTTTTATGCAGAGCTTACTTCACGGACCAAGTTAAGGGAAACCGCTGCTTATTAACTTTCTATCTGCCGCAAAACTGACTGAGCGGGATTTGGAGATGGATTCTGATTCTCTTTAAAGACGCTTAAAGCAAAGTGTAAATACGTCCCTAAAGTCATCGTGCTGGTCGTTCCTGTTTTTTTTTTTGTAAACTGATGTACAGTATTCTCCCACACTCGCTTGGCTGATGGCACCAGTCTCATTGAATGTGCTCCAACAGTTTGTTCCCGCCGTTTGTGTCTGTTTATGCAAAAGTTGCATGTTTAATCTGTTCCTTTGAATCCTCCGTTTTGGCTTTAGGTGTGCTTTCTGTGTAGGTCGTTAGGGCTGAGCAGGGTGTTGATTGTTCGTGCAATCAAAGGATGTTCCCGTCAATCATTGAGCTATTTCTGATACATTCCAAGTGATCAGGGTAGATAACGAGAAGCAGCTTAAAGGCCTCACCTCAGCTGAATTTATCAATAACGTCAATTCTGTGAAAGAAAGGTTGAATTCTCACACGCTGCCGGTTTATTAGAGACGCAACAATGTTACGTGACTCACAAAGTCCCAAACTCTTTTTCTGCACATTAATTTCAATTTGAGCATAACAACTTTAGTACATTTGAAAAACTGTCTAAATATCAGAAAAGGTTTTTTATAGTTGCCTGAGGTGCAAAAGTTGGTTGATAACAATCGATACAAAGCAACAAAAAGTTTGTGACGAAGAAAGAGACAAAACATGGCGACAGAATGGCGGCCATGTTTATATCATAACTTTCATACGTTGGTTTGACTGGCACTTCAAACTCCAAATTACATAATCTTGTTGTCTTCTGTGATGGTTAAATGGCACCCGACTGTAGAATTAGCGCCACAAATTGTTTATTTCAATGAACTAACTCACGTAACTGTAGCTGCTGGAAACTTTGGATGAATTCAGCGTTTTGTTCTCTTCGTGTGCTCTTCATCAGTCACCAAGTTCACGATGTGCAGCAACACGTCTTTATACTAAAGCCAAAAGAAGAGCGACCAAATCTCAAACACCTCTGACAATTATCACAATAATTATTAAACAACAAATATATCAAGATATGTCTAAATACATGAGGCAGATCTGACCAGTACAAGTCTCACAACCAGGTTTCATTTGTATTCTTCCTATTTAAATAGATATTGTTTGTCACATTCTGGTGTGTATATCAATAATTAACGTGAGAAAAGGCCGCGTCTCTAATAAACCGATTCTGAAATTCAAACCTTTATTTCCACATGATTGCATCGTTGTCGACGCCTGTCGCCCCCAGGTGTGCATTAGATGATACTTGTGAAGTCTAAAAGGACCAAATGTGAAGCCGTGACTCAGCAGCAGCCTCTGCGTGTCAGCCTGCTGTTTGACTTCAGCCGTCTCAATACGGGAGGAAACCCTCGAGCCTACAGTTCATTTTATGAATGTAACAATGCAACAAAGGTTTAATATTTACTTAATGTGCAATATCTGCAGTCCAGCAACAAACCAAAAGCAAAAATGCTTCCCTCTGTTTCCAGTGTCTCTGAAGTGTCCTCGTACTTTGTGATGTTGTTTCTACATGAACCCGACTGTACCTTCAGATATTTCTTAAAAATATTGTAGCACACTCAAAATTACTTCAACATTTTGTTTTGGGCCATAAAACAACATTTGAACGGAAACACACAGGCATATAAGAGTTGGTTTTAAGTTCTGTAAATAGTTACAGAAAATGAAATATAGATATTATCCTACGACTTTATTTTCTTACCTACATGCATATATATTTTATTTTACATTCCACAGCTCTTTTATTTTACAAAAGTGAAAAAGATTATATAAAAAAAAGATGCTTTAAAGTTTTGAAATCAAGCAATATTTCCATGTGACTGTATTACTCTGAGTAACGATGAGTAACATGCCACCGCGTGTGGAGCTACAGTGTAAATGTGAATTGAAAGACGCATAACAACAAATGAGTGACTGAGAAAAAGCATGAATTTACTCATTTTTGTGACATCCCACGTATTTTATTTTAAATGTGTTTCACTCATTTTAAAAGAATATGTCTTAACTTATAGGCTGCCAGTCTGATGGCTTTAACAAAGCTGATAATTTATTTAGATTAACTCTGGTTGAAAAAATTCATATTGAGCTTTTTATTGAATCATCATACATGCCCACATTTCTAATGAAACATGCTTTTTTTTAAGGTGAAATGTAACTTAAAGATGCAAACCGTTTCATCTCCAGAGGTGAAAAGGTTCATAATGATGTCAAGCACTTCCCGTGCTCACACACACACATTATTTCAACAGAGAGCTCAAGTCTTATTGTGATCAAACAGCAGCTGAATACGACTTCAGAACAAGAGAAAAACCAAAAGACTTTATCTCTGTGTTCGTTTTATTCATCTTAATATTATGTAATTAGCAGAAGACGAGCTTCTGATTCTGAAGTCAGTCCGCATGGCTCTTCTTGTTTAATGTTGTTGAGAATGTGCTTTGTACACCAGCTTTGTCGAACAACACTCCCCTTAATTTGTCTGAGCATTTATTTGCCCGCGTGTTTGTTCCTGGTAATAACCAGCATTTCTCCGAGACGCAGTGGAAACATGCATGGGATATTCAGTAGATAGGGGGGGTGGGGGTGAACTTTTGCTATTATTTTTCCTTTGATGAGAACATGTATATTGTACAAAATATATATATATATATGAAATATAAATTATACATGGTGTGAGAAGCAGGGATGTGGTGGAGTATAACAACAAAGAGGAATGTTACACTCGTGCTACAGTTTCTGTTGACATGCTTTTGTGGACAGCTAATAAAAGACCAGAGTTTAAAAGAGTGTGAAGATGTTTTTTTTTTTTTGCTATTTTGGTATAAAACTTCCAAAGATGCAGAGCAAAGTTAGGGACAATGTAGATGGAAGCAAACAGTTTGGGATAACTTTATTCCTCTACAAGGACACTGCAGCATCCTCTGGATGAAAATGTGACAAATGTGGCCACAGCCCAGCAGCAGCGTGTTTTATCGATCCTTTTTACTTCTACCGAGCAAATGACTCAAGGTACTAAAAGTGGTGACAGCTCCCTCACAGAGCCAGCGGACTGTCTGCCGTCAGGCCGATGAAGAAATACAAGGTCTTAAAAAGTCAGGAGGACAATTTGGCTGCGATTCCTCTTTTTTTTTTCTTTCTCCATAGGAATTCACTGCACCAACGAAGGAATGAAACCAGCGCAAGTTCAAGAAGTTATTTATTTATATGAATAGAGGCAGTTGTACTAGTAGCCTGGGTGTAAATGGAGACTGTAACAGGCCACACATTGTGTTGCTTAAGTATATCTAGTCTGCCATTTCCTGATGAGTACATGCCATGGTAGCTTTGGAGGCATTTTTCCCTGCATGAACATGGGCAACTAATAAAAGTAATTATTTAAGCAAAAACGACAAAGTAAAATTAACTTGTTTCAGCACCACAATTCAGAATTTGTGTTGTTTTCATTGCAAATAATTGTTGGTTGCAGCCCTTATATATAATATCTTGATCTACTCTATTTGTGGTTTATCACAGCCAACAATAATCACCAGTCCCATAGACATTGGGTTCATTTTCCCTCCCTAAAAGGAAGATTATTTAATCCTCATTGCCATAACTTTATCATAAAATAACTGAATACATACTTATTCTGAATCTACAATAACGTACTTATTGAACGCCTCTGAAATAGGAAGAATTTGCTGTATTTTGCCACAGAAGATGCTTGTTTTAAAAAATATGTTTGGGCTAATTTCCTCAAATGGCCTCTAGGGGGCAGTAACGACCAAAGCATCTTCACATAAGCCTGACATTCCTCAGGCGAAGAAGAAGATGACCATGTTTCCTCTGCAGGCAACCGCAAAGTTGGTCAACTTAGTCCACGGTGTCGCTTTCGTGACTAAAGTTAACACAATGAATGCATTAGCAGATATCGATGGATCCCTAACAAACCGCGGTTGCTGAATGAAACCAGTGGGGACGTGTGTTCGCGACTACGCATGCGCACTCCGGGCCGAATATCGAGCCGCCCTTCTTCTCCGCCAACTTGCACCGCAGGGTCGGGCGGACGTCGACTCACAACAACCCCGAGTTCATTTGCTCGTCTTGTTGAATATTTGCCGGTATAAAAATGGAGAGCCCGTATCGCGCCGAAAACGGTAAGCCAATGATTTTACGAACGCGTGCCACCTATCGCGAGTTATCGGCTGTACTTTTGGATTGTGTGCGCCCGATTTAGAACATGGCGTACCCCGCTCTCGAGATGGCGGTGGCTTTGTGCTACGAGCTGATGTGTGCGGTAGTTATCGGAAGGAGCTTCACGTTAGCTCAGCTAACGTAAACGTCTGAAAGTCGTACCAGTGTTACAGTAGAAACCATTAAATATAAATGTAATTGCACTTTTTTTAATAGTGTACTCCCCGAACCATTTAAGCAACTTATATAGCATAGTTATATATTTACGACTTTGTTGTGGCGGTCATGTGCGGATAGTCGTAATTCCGACACTGTTGCCAGTCCGTGAAGGCAACCAAGGCTAGTTTAGAGGAGGTGCTACAAGAGACCCCCAGAGCTTCACTGTAATGTCAGGAATACTCTGTTTGGACATGTTTAAAGTCATTATTTCAACTTATATTGAAATGAAATGGTTGACATTCCTAGAGAAATGTGTTTATTTGAATTACCACTCAATAATTAAACCCGGGGTCATAGTAATGTTACCACTGGTTGGTTATTGTGGTTTTAGGCCAAGTATAATTAAGCTGCCCTATATAATCAGCTGTGGCTACTGTACTTGCTGGACACTAAGGCTCGTGGATCAACCTGCTAATTTGTTTCATGAGTCAATAAAATGTCAGCAAATGGTGAAAAATACCCGTCACGATATCCCAAACCTAAGTTGACACATGAGAGTGTTTGCAGTGAGGAACTATATTAGATTTTTAATGAAAAGCTGAATAACGTGATAATTCAAATTGCGGTTCTGACAAATGTTTTCCAGATTCCCTTCTTCTGCTGCCGTCTCTCCGCCTCTTCATCCCTCCTCTGCGCCTGGTGTCTGCAGCCATGTGGCAGGTGGTCCAGCGGGGCAGCGTGCAGGACTACGGGATGGTGGAGGAGTTCGTCACCACGGTGTCAGAGATTGTGCCCGAACTCCTGAACGCGGATCAGAAAGCTCAACTCCTCCTGGGCCTCAGAGCGCGGGTACGAGGTTTTTAAAAGTTCATGTCAAACAACAACCGTGCAGATGTTTAGCTGTCAAAACGAAGTGTAAACATGATTTATTACTGTTCATTCTAGCGCTCTCGTTTGACTCAGCTGGTAACGACATCATCTCAACAATAAAAGCTAAATTATCGCCTGACAGACCGTAAAAGTGCAGCTGATGAAAAGGTTTAATATTTTGAGACAAGAAATCAGCAGGAGCTGCGAGGCACCACACGTCTCCCTGAAAGAGTTATTGTACAGTTTCCCAGTGCTGAATCCTGTGAGCCTGCTGTTGGTGCTTAACATGCCCTGGTGCCGTCCCATCGGTCGTATTCACCCTGAGGTGGAACCGTTTGTTGCAGGTGGTTCTTGAATTGTGTCGGGCCGAGCAGATCCGAGACACGGAAACCATCGAGATGCACCTGGAGCGGATCAGGGCCCTCGTCTCCACCTGGGCAGCGCAGGTTAGCCTCTTTAAATGCCACGTGTAGAACAGCAGTGTTGTCGTGTTTTACCATCAATTTGTAATTTCTCCCCGCTCAAACTTCGTCTTTTGTTCCAGCCGTGTTTTGCAGAAGTCGAGTTTCCAGAATCCAACTTCGTGGATCAAATCGAGTTGCTGTTGAAAGACGCCGACGAGAAGGAGAAGTTCTTCCAGGTTTGGGATTCGGTTCTTTGAATTTATAAGATGGATTTCATCATATTGCTGAAGCAGTCTCGGCTGCAGCACATTTTAATGTTCACTAGTTGTGGAGTACTTGAGCATTAAACTGTGATTATTTCTTCCAGGATGTTTTTCCTACAGATTTTGGGCCTGAATACGACGACGCTCTCCAGGTGCTGATGCTGGATTTTCTCTCCAGACTGGAGAAGCTTCTTCCTGTACCCGACATTCAGCAGGTACTGGAACATACATCTGCTCAGAAATCATAGACAAATATGCGCCTTATAACTCCAGAACCTGCCTGGAAAACACAACCTTTTTAAAGTTTAAAGTAATCCAGTGATGGTTACCTGTGCATCAATAGGTAACAGGACCTGCTAATAGCTAATTCAACATTGTATTTCTTCACTAGACGGCCTCCATGCTCAGTGCGGTCCCGTCCACCCTGGAGGAGTGTGTGCACTCTGTTCCCGACCCTCAGCACCTGAGAACGGTGCTGCTGTACCACACCACACTCGGACATTTGGATCTATCTGGTGAGTCACATGCATAGTATTAAAAACCTTCATTCAGTTCAGTTCTTTATTGTTTTTCAGGGGAGCAAACTTGTCACCTTTTGGCGAAAATCGCAGTTTTGACGGTTTAGTGCTTTCGGTTTAATTAAAGGAATTGTGTTTTTGCTTCTCTGATGACCTTGTAGTTTATAGCTGAAGCATGAAGCTAATGGTGTCCTTATTTTCCCCACAGATGAAACTCCGACCATTCCTTCCTCCTTTGGGAACTGCATCCTGTCGTCGCTGTCCCTCCCTCAGCTGGAGAAGGTTGTGATCGATGCAGACCAGATACAGCTGCAGCCTCCGTCAGACCAGATTCAGGGCTGCATGACCGTCCAGGTGGAGGGCGAAACCGTGACTCTGCTGGACTACATCCAGATCGAACAGCCGTCGGGTCTTGTCGAGCCCGATGATGATGATGATGAAGAAGAAGAAGAGGAAAATGAACTAAACGAGGAGGAAGCTAACGAGGACATCGGTGACGCCCTGACGCCGGCAGCTTTTCAGCCACTGAAGCAAAGCAAAAGGCTCCAGGTAAAGAGGAATGCTTTGAAAGACAAAGACTCAGCGGCGGCTAAGAGGCAAAGAAAGAAATACTCCAACGATAAAACATGTCCTGTGTGCAATAAGATTTTCCTGCGGGCTGCAGCCATGAGGCGGCACCAGGAAACTCACTCTGCTAACAGGGAGTTCAAGTACAAGTGCGCCAACTGTGACAAACGATTCAGGGACCATTACGACATGAACCGGCACAACATGCGCGTTCACGAAAAGGACGAGCTCAGTCTCAGCGCCAAAGAGGAGGACGCAGGAGACGCCAGCACTTCTGAGATGTCGGAAAACAAAAACTGCGCGCTGTGCGGGAAGTATTTCGGCCGCCGGGTGGACATGGAGCGACACATGAGGTCCCACTCGGAGGACCGGCCGTACAACTGCTGCTTCTGTGAGAAGAAATTTAAGAATCCTTACGTTTTAAAGAGACACCAGCTGGAGATTTGCAAGAGCAGAGAGCTGAAGAGGCCGAGGAAGAGAGAGACGCAGCGCTCCAATCCACAGCCGCCGCCTGAGGGCTCGACGGAGGGCAAAGTCTGTCCCATCTGCAGCAGGATCCTGCCCTGCACTGCGGACATCGCGAAGCATCTACGGTCTCACACGGAGGAGCGGCCTTTTATATGCATCGCTTGCGAGAAGGGCTTCAAGTACAAGGACACATTGAAGAAGCACCAGATCATTCACGGCCACGAGGGCATCAGAGAGGAGCAGAGTAAGACGGTGGAACAGATTCTGGCCGAGGCCGATACGGGCAACCTCGATAGAAAAGATAAAAATCTGGATGCTCCTGCCGACGCTTCTGATGAACCCCCGTCGGCGCCTGCGCAAAGAGTCAAGAGAAAAGCTCCTAAAGTTTGCCCCGTCTGTTCTCGGGCGTTCGACAGCGTCAAAACACTGAACAGGCACGTGCAGTGTCACACGGAGGACCGGCCGTATCACTGCATCCACTGCAAGAAGCGCTTCAAACACATGCACGGGCTGAAAAGACACCAGATTTATGCCATTTGTCATAAGAAAATCACCCGCTTCTCGTGGAAGAAGGAGCCGAGAGCCGGGCCCAGCCAGAGCGAAGTGACCGGCGCCGACCCGCTGAAGATCCCCGTGTGGTGCTCCAACTGCGGCAAACACTTTGAGTACCCGTCCGCTCTGAAGGAGCACCAGGAAAACGTCTGCAAAGTGGAAGTGAGTGAAATCATGAGATGCGACGACTGCGGGAAGGAGTTCAAGAGCATGACTATGCTCAAGGTGCACCAGAGGATCCACGATCCGCTCTACTGCAAAGAGTGCGGCAAGATCCTCGCCAACGAGCCCGCCTTCGAGAGGCACAAGCTCATGCACCGGCCGATGCAGTGCACCATGTGCGACAAGGCTTTCACTCTGCTGAGGCGCTTGAGGGAGCACTACGAGAAGCAGCACGAGTTCACCGGGCCGTATCCCTGCGCGCAGTGCGACAAAACCTTCATGCAGCTCTCCTACCTCGCCATCCACCAGAGAATCCACAAGGGCGAGTTCCCCTACATATGCAGCATGTGCCCCGAGAAGTTCCGGTCCTCCAACTGTCTGACAGTGCACCAGAGGAAACACACCGGGGAGAAGCCCTTCCTGTGCTGGCAGTGCGGGAAGTGCTACCGCTCGGCCTCGGAGCTCACGGTGCACATGGGGACCCACTCGGAGGAGAGGCCCTGGGCTTGCGCGCAGTGCGACATGGCCTACCGCACCAAGCTGCAGCTGACCAACCACGTCGAGCAAATCCACATCGGCGTGCGGTACCCCTGCAACAGCTGCGGGAAGCAGTTCATGAAGGAGACGTCGCTGAAGAGGCACGAGCTCATCCACACGGGTGAGAGGCCTCACCAGTGCACGGTGTGCGGCAAGACCTTCCTGACCGCCAACGAGCTGCGGCTCCACAACCGCTACCACACCGGGGAGCGGCCGTACAAGTGCGAAGAGTGCGGCAAGGCCTTCATTCAGTCGGGGTACCTGAAGTCGCACATGCGCATCCACACGGGAGAGAAGCCGTTTAAATGCGACGTGTGCGACAAAGGCTTCCGGTTGTCTTATCACATGAAGAAACACAAGCGGACTCACGCCGGCAAGCCCAAGAGCTACGTGTGTGAGGAGTGCGAGCTGACCTTCCTCCACAAGAAGTCTCTCTGGGAACACTCGCTCTGTCACGACGTCAAAGTAGAACCATCGTTCACCGGCGAAGTGAGGATAGAGTTTCAATAGAAATCCTCCTTTTTTTTTTTTTTTATTCATGCAGGTTGTTTTCATTTATTCATTTATTTCATCCTCAAATTCTTAATTTTCTTTTTGTTATCTGATTTTGACCAATTTGTGACTTTGTTCTTCTTTTCCCTCCTCGTTGCTTCGCATGTTCTTTAAAGCAGTTTGTTGTTTGTTTGTTTCTGCTTTTTGAAATAAATGTACCTTGAATGAATTCTTGCTGCAGTCATGTTCATTTATGAAATGGTGATGAAGAGGTTTATCAATGAATCGATGATAGTTGAGTGAAAATTAAACAAATGCTTGACCAATTATTTGTTTAATTTGAAGATGAGCTCGGTCCAGCCTTTAAAATATGAGTGCACATTGATCATCTTCAGGGTTTTAATTTATTTATTTTGAATAATTTAGTAAACTGTTTTCTGACATTTCAGCTCTGTGGTTATTCTATTACTACTAAAAGACAGTTGGCTTGTTTTAGCCCTCGTAAAAAATACATAAGTCATATTTTGTCGTTATTTCAGAATAATCCAAAACAAATTCAAGATTACGGTCGGTGAGTAAAGAGACGTACTTTAAATTCAGCTAAATAAATATTACGCTAACTGTGCAACGTAATGTACTGATTAAAACATGAAAGATTATTAGAATAATCATTTGTTTTTTTTCAAATAGATCAAATACCTCGCTGAACATTACACAAAATCTGGTCCTCCATTAATATAAATATAAAATATGCAAATAATGTTAATGTAGTTTATTCCCTGTGTGTGTGAGAGAGAACTGGAGGGCTGCATGTCATTGGTTGTTCCACATCCTCCTCAGGTGGGCGGGGCATTTATATGCAACGCACCTGCTTGTGTACACTTTCAACCCAAACTATCAGAGTACCAGTTGTACACTAAGAGCTAAACTGCTTTTTACAAATATTATAAAAAAAATCCTTCTGTGGGTAAATGCACTACGTGGGCTCTCGGTAATTAATAATATAAATAATTAGCTGCATTAGTTTCTGTTTGTGATCTGTTTCAAGATGATCACAACTATTTATTAATCTCCTTCAGTGGAAGCTTAAGCAAGCAACTGCAGTTTAACCTAATTACTGTCACCTTACCATGAATCTGTTTTCCACCAAATGCATAACTGCAATGCATTGTGGGTGATGGGGAGTGACCATCGTTGCCATCTCACAAAGTTCACTTCATGACAAAAAGGAACGAGTCTTCTGATGGTCAACGAGCGCGTGCTGATCGACTGACGCAGCCGTGGGTTTCAGGTTTCACGTCACACCTGTGTAAGTTTCACACTCTACTACGATTGGCTCCCCGAACTAGTTGTGATGTCACAAAATCATCTCCTACTTGCACCTGTTCAACTCCGACTTGAGGTCGACCTTTCCCCTCTTCAGCAGATGGTTTAGAAACAGACGCTCGATTGTTAAACTCTGCCCACACACCGAGAACCTCCAACACACAAAGATCAACATATGTTTGAGTAGGAGGCTTTAAGGCGCGTTTCAGGGCTACAACATCACAGCCTCACACAGCAGACGATGTTTAGTCAGTGGTCTTCTTTCCCCAGAAGATGGCAGTATAGTAGTGATGATGAGCATCAGAGCTCAGCTGTGCTTCACTCACAATATTTGTCACAGCTTGTGTTGGAGGCTCTGGACTCTGCAAACTTCCTTATACATAAATAACAGTGTTTACCTTTTCACATCAGCATCCATATCTCATGTTCAGCATGCACAGAGACATCTGTTTTGTGATGTGCAAGGGAAGAGCTTGTTTGTTTACGCGGCTTTTATGCAACATAAATTTCCCAATGACTGTTTACGCAAGCGCAGCGACTGCGAGTCAATATTTATCCTCGCCTCTTCCTCGCTGTCCGTGCCACCTGACATGTAGACTCGGCACGAGCGACGGTTCACGACCACAGCGGCGGCAGCTAGAGGCGGCATCGCGGCCCGATTCCAGAGAAACTGCTCCCATCTCTCAGGAAAAAAATCAGAGGCCTACTGAGTCAGAGCCTCTCTGGAGTGTTGGGAGCAGATCACTTTTTAACCCAAAGCATATTGATTTATATGGGGCTGTAATTGCTTCAGTGTGTCCTGGATTATTCCCCCAGTAATTGAGGCCTGGCAGAGGTCTCTTTCCTAGACATAGCCTCCCCGCTGCCAGGTGGTGGGGCAGAGAGGAGCACCGCTCCCGACTCCCCAGCCACCCGGAGAGAGCCAGGGAGCAGTGGCCTCTTGACCCCCCACAACCACTCCTGGTCAGGGGGTCAGTAAACGGCACAAACAGTGTGCTTCCCTGCATGCGTCAACTTATCTCACTCAGGCACTCCTCCAGCTCTACTTGTATGAGGCAGCACATTGTGAGTAAAGCTGGATGGAACCAAACAGCCCACCGCAGTATCCCTCACACTAAAAAGTCCTGAATATGTGCTTCTTTTTTCTTCAATATTTGACTGTCGTCTGCAGTTTCTCTCTCCAGGATTAGTCGTGTTTACTGAAACCATATATTAAGGCTATTGTTCAAGTATTTGTTTGGTGTTGTTGTTCGTGACTCAGTGGAACATTCCTGGATTTTGTAGACGGAATGTTTGCACGCACTAACAGTTCTCGAAAATCACCGCGGTGTCACGAGTACGAGGGGTAGACAAAATAATGCAAACACTCCACAAAGAAGTCACTTTTAGAAAACACTACTTTGTCTTTGCATTGTGTGCTTTACGTTGCACCTGCAGTTTATTTGGTTTCGATATCAAATATATAAGAAGGAAAACTATATTTCTGTAGGACAAAATTTATTTTTCTCTCTTTTTTGGTTTTTGTTTTGGATACTTTTACCTCTTCAGTCCTTCAAGTGAAACAATCAGAGAAGCAAAAAAGTCAAAGACCATAAGTTGTAACGAGGGGTCGCACATATACATCGGTTTGTTTGAAGGGGTCACAACATCTCAGATCAACTTAGTTTAGGCTACCTCGAGTCAACGAGGAGCCAAAAGAAAGCAAAATATGACTCCAAATTAAGTCTGCTACATGAATAAATAGGCATTTATTGCTATTACATTAGCAGTAACAACTATATAAAGTGAAAAAACATTATTTTTGTTTCGTTTTTCTGCCCCCCTTTGGCCAAAAAAAACAACCTCCCCTACCTTTTGGCGACTTGGGTGCAGTGGAACAAGCAGAAAACACAACACTGTCATTTTATTCAGCCTAGAATCAGAAATACCTGAAATCGTCATGACCTTAAAGTTACGTGTCGGCGGCATGAACACAATGACAAGTCAATTAGGATCGTTTTTAGTGGTGGACACATGGTGTTCGTGTCCCAAAGTGTTGTTTTGAAGTGAAGTGTGTACTTCAGTAACGACACTTACGTAGTTTCTTTAACCCAAACCACGATCTTTTCCTAAACCTTAGGAAGCAGTTTTGTTGCCTGAACCTAAGATGTTTCCTGTGAACAAGTCTTTTTTTTGTCTGCACGTTACGATGTCTGCACGTTAC